TGTTGTGGTCTGTCCGCTAATCATTCATTCACCGTTTTGTTTCGCGTGCACAGCTATATATAACCGACACAGTTGAACAGACTAAACTTACACATTTTTGAATGCCTTTTCTTCTAGATTATTTCTCGAATAGCCATTATTCGAGCACATGTTCAGAGATCGATAGATGATCCAAAATGGACTGCCTGGAAGCGGTCTGATCGACATCAAATCGACTCGAGATGGAGAGATCTTAAGATCTACCCGTCTTGAATTGTAAGAATAAGTATTAATAATTTATTTTAAGCTGAAAAACAGAATTATTCGCTTCTGTAAAACAAAAAAAAGCAATGAAGAATAGATTCGAATCCACGTGGTCAAAATGTGTCGCATGTGTCGCACTTTTATGTGTTGTGCGCTTGCTGGAAGAAATGTGTCGCAACGAGCTCCTCGTGTCGCACTTGAATGTGTCGTACATTGTGTCGCAAAGTACGACACATGCAACACATTTTATCTTAGTGTGTATGATATATATATATATAAACTTCAGTAGGATCCAGTTTGAAAGTTGAAATTAATTTAAGTTTCAACTTTCCGCCTTCCCATAAGCATAGTCACTGCCGGGGTGTAGGTAGTGGAATGTTGCGAGTTAAAGAGTAGTCTTTCAACTTTATTCCACTTTATGGTGTGGTAGAAGTGTTTGATTTTTATTGGTCTTTTTACATAAATAAAAAAGTTGGCAATCGCTTCTTAAAGCGGGGACAGTTGAATATGCCGCTTATTAAATCCACATTCATACTAAAAGCAATGCTTGGTAAGTTTTGAATGCGATAGAAAGCACATCATTAATGTAACCCTTCGTGATATTTTTATACTACAAAGCACGTTGTAGCGATCAGTCGAATTCTTTTTGTTTCTCGGCATCAGACTCAAAAAGTCATATTTTGGGAGACGATGATGTTGAGAACGGCACATCGTATGGATCTCGTGGCAGGTTTAATGTAGGCTTGAGATCTCTATGTGGTATAAGTTTCGTTCGCCCGAGCTTACAGTCTTGGTAGTATAAGTAAGCCATTGATTTTGTTTTCATTATGTCGATATGAGGATGTCATGCTTGCTGTTGATCTTAGCAATGCTGAACAATCTTTGAGAATAATGATAGTCTATAGATTGGCAGCTGCTGACATCTTTTTATTATTATTTATCAAAACCCTATAGAGGACTAGCATATAATAGTATCTTTAGTTATGATCATGCAAGAGAAGTTTTGTGTCACGATGAGTTCGAGAGCGAAAGTATTGACATCAAACCGATATAGTTTGTATCTAAATACTCCATAGTGTACTCTATTTACTTACCAATAGAGTCCGAAAAAAGACAGCTTGTTGGAGTAGATGTCTGATTCGAATCCGAATGTAAATTCAGAATTTAAGAAAAAAATCGCACCGATGTTAAAATAGCATAGATAAACAAAAGATAAAATGTTATACAAATTATTTGTATTTTTTCTGTTTTCACTTCGTTAATCGCTGTGTACACAGTAGCGAACATGTGTCGTGACTCTCCGGGGAGTGCTTAGCGCCTCCACTCTTCGAGGCAGAAAAATGGCCATTTACCCTGTGGAAAGCCGTTCTGAGCTATTGGGTACTAGGTTCGTAACACAAGAATAAGCTGAGTAGTGTAAAAGTTCTCAGTTGAGTTCGATTATTGGAGAGGTAGCCAGCTTATCATCTATTGAAATTTTCTGAGCTGCTTCACACATCCTCAAAGATGCGACACATATCATCTGAGACACTACGCGTAACCTATGGGGCCCTAATGGTGTGAAATAGTGCCCGGAATGCTGTAGGGATTACTTTAAATACTAAAAGTATCACAGGCATGGTACAGGTATAACTCGGGATGCTAGAGGTATCGTTTAGAGTAGTACAGATGTGATTTAGGAAGCTGTAAATATCAGGAAGAACACTAGAGATGTTAGTTTTCTTAGTACAGCTACTAACCAGAATGCTATAGATATTACCTGAAGTGCTTTAGCGTTCTAAAAAAATCGTTTTCTTGGAAATCTATCAAAATAGTTTTCTAAGCACTCGGAAACCCAAGTAGGTTTCTGGACAACCTAGATGCGTTTCTGAACTTATTTCGGAAACCTTTAAAACGTTTTTTGAAAGGGAAAATGACTTTCCGAACTTCGGAAACGCATTCAGATTTTTCCGAAACCTATTTGAGTTTCCAAACGCTCAGAAATCTATTTTGGTGGGTTTCCGAGAAAACAAATTTTTTTTAGTGATGAATGACTAGTCATGTTGCACCTGTTATCCAGAATGCTACAGGCGAACGTTATCGGAATGCCTGATGAAACACCTGGACCACTTCAACGACCACACGGATGTAGGACCTGTAAGCAAATGGGTAACATGGTCAAGTAGATCCATACAAGCTATAGTCACTAGGCTTCAAAAATAAAAGACTACAATTACTGTGTACACAACGATGGGTATGATTCATGGCTCTTCGAGGGGCGTTTCATGCCAGCACGCCGTGACGCTGAGATAAAATGGCAGTGACACGGGAAAAAGTCGTTTCAAACAGTTGCATACCAAATGTGGAGCATTAAAATCGGCATTAGACTTATTCAAATTAGGGTAATTAAATGCCAAGCTATCTGTAGTAGATTAGGATTATTTTTCCTTGTCACATGTGACATTACACTATGCTTTCATGGACTATAGGAAAAGAATTCCTGAGGTATTCCAAAAGGTGACTAGATTATCCCTGGTGACGCTAGTAGCATCTGGCATATAGCTAGTAAGATCTTTGACAATGAATGAAGCGTCCCAGATGACACTTGTGGCATCTAAGCTGGCGTCGGTTTAACTCCAGGTGATGGGAGCAGCATACCAGCGGACGCTAGTAGTGTCTCAGGAGACGCTGGTAAGATTTCAGACCACTCCAAGCATACCGCGGGCAATTTTAGTAGCATCTTACGTGATGCTCGTAGCAATTTATGTAAGACCGGTAGCAGCTCAGGTGATGCTGGTATAATGCTAAGTAATTGTGTAGGGAATCTCAGATGATACTTGTAGCATCTCGGTCATCGACTCGAGGAATCTCAGATTAGAAAAGTCTTCTTCAGATTCATCTATACAATTCGGAATAAATTCTATGGTTTGCTTTCTTCTACTCTACGATGGGTGTGACTTCGAATTTATAAATTGTAATTCATAGAAAATTTTATATTTTGCTTTGTTGCGGTTTTAACATCGAAGCCGTTTTTTCATTTATTTTCGAAGTATTACTAAAAAGGTGGCTCTTCATTTATATTTGAACTCGAATATGACAAATCATGGAAAGTTCGTCGCAATTCTATTTGCTTGTCGCTAAGACAGCTGTAAATATAGATGACAGTCGATAATGAATTTTTTAGACAATTAATTGATCATTCGATATAGTTTATTAGAAACATGTTGATACACATTGAGAGAGTTCTCTCAGTGATGAATTTCATTATGACTACTTCTTAATTTATTGCTGACTTCCATCAACTGATTGATAGACGGATTACTTTTTCGATTTACAACGAGAAAAGTGCTTAATTTCAGTAAAACGTAAAGGCCTTTTAAAAAACCGTGATTCGCGATAAATCGTAGAAACGGTTTCTCGCTTTTTTATGAAAGTAAATTTTGGTATATGCGACTTTAGTTTATTAGTGATATCTTGGTTATGAAGACAAACAGAAGAATAACAAAAGAAGTAGAAATACAGAGAAGAAACAGTTGGAGAATAAGATAACGAATGTAATATCTGACGACCCTATAATAGAAGCAATACGAATATATACAGAAATGGTCAAAAATATAAGTACAGACAGCTTTTTAGCGTTTTTGTTTTATATATCTTTACTTTTTCCAACTGAAAAGAGGTTATGTGTATAGATATATGCAATCAGTTGCTCTCTATCCGAAACTGAAGTTAGATTTCCTCGTTTCTCATGCAAGATCCAAGAAAAGACATTTTTATGGAGAATTTGTACTTTTTTGTCAATAAAAAACGCTAGTCTAGCTCAAATTTCTTCCACACTAACACTACAATTGAAATAGGACTATTTTCCCCGCAGTTTCACATAATAGAAAAGATACTTTTTACTACAAGACGAAAGATTTTTGAAATCTGAGAGGCATTCTGTTAGCGAGAAAACGGCATGATAGGAGCGAAAGTTTTATTAATTTTGTCATGAAAATCTTGAAAATGAGTTAGTCAGTAATACAAGGCTTTGAATAAAGAATACTTTATGGACTGCTTGATAGATTGTGCTGAAATTATTTTTCTTAATATATTTATCTATGAGATATATTCATAATACAATGTTCAACTCAATAGATTGAGTGCTGTCTATTCTATGGTATTCGCGGAAAAGGAAAAATTGACGAGTTTTGATATATTTGATGCTTTCTATCTCAAAACTGACAAGAGATACAGATCTGAGATTTTTCGTGTATGCGAAACTTGTAGAATTACAGCATAGGTGTGGGCCTATCCTTTACCCATTTCGACACCACATCCACACTGATTTAGGAAAGTTGCTCACGGGCACTTGCTCACTAGGACACCGTCACTTGCATTTACATCCATATCTCTATGCTTCGACATCTTTCAGTCGTATAAATTTCAACTTTCCTATGATAGTTATCATCTGGAAAAACAAACTACTTGGTTAATTCTAATCATTACTGAAATAATTCAATTTTCTTGTTCTGGTGCACTCACAGGAAGCCCAGTATAGTTTGTTGAGCCTATTGTTATTATTGTAGATCATCGCATTGAAATCCAGTGCTATTCTGTTGCCGGCCTACTAATATACTTTCATGACCTATACGGAGATATCTACTCGTGACCATTGCCACCGTCTACAAAATAATTGTGATACACAATCGCTTTTTCCAATAAAGAATAATCTCCAGCGGCGGGCACTGAAAGTATGTCGTGAACTGAAAAAACATGGCATACATTCAAGTAATAGAATGAAAGCTGGTGGTTTTCAGTATACAGGAGTAGGTGACACTGCTCGATGCGATATATGTGGCCTTGAAGTGTCTCGATGGATTAGAGAGATGGATCCATTTTATGTTCATCTCGAACGTAATCCGAATTGTTCATTTGTTCGTTCTGTACAATCAAAAGATCAGTTGACACTTGATCAGGAAGAAAAGCCGGCCAAACGACAGAAGTCACAATTAAACACCGAGCGCTGTAATCGACAGAACAAAGTGGTTGAGCTAGATATTCTTAAACAAGCGCGTCAACGAACATTTTCGCACTGGCCACATGATACAGCGCTAACGAAGGAACAAATGATCAGTGCTGGATTTTTCCAGTGTAATGTTGGAGATCGTGTTATTTGTTTATATTGTAACCTTATTTGTCAGCAATGGGAAGGGAGTATGGATGAACCAGTTGAAGTCCATAAAAAGCTATCGCCGATGTGTCCTTATGTGCGATCAATGCTAACACAAACAGAATCTTCTTCAGTTTTGATTGTAAATGAAATATCAACGGATACTAATGGTAATCAAACAGCTGCATTGAGTAATACCAATCACCTTCGATTCGAACAACTTGTTTATACATCACCATCCCATATTAGTTATAGTAGTATTCCAAGTCGACGAGCAACTTTTGAGACATGGACCGATCAATCATCACCTTGTGTTGATGATTTGGTTACAGCCGGTTTCTTTTATACGGGTGTAAAAAATATTGTCAGATGTTTCTATTGTAACGGATCATTACAGAATTGGGGCAAAAATGATAATCCATTAATTGAACACATAAGGTGGTTTCCACATTGTGCATATGCGAAACAGTTAAGCGGTGACGAGCTGTACAATAAAGTTCAAAAAACGAAAAGGATTCGACAAGGTTGGAGCATTTTTTTCTTCAGAAAACGATAAATTGTATAGAGTTTCTTCGTTTATATACAGAGCATGAAAAGACTAAAATTTTGACAAATCTAACGAATGATAATTCATCTGTTTCCAATCATCAACAATTGCAAACAATCGATGAAAAACTATTGGCACGTTTAGTTGCTGCTCGACTCGATCTACCAATCTCACAAAGGTTACTTGATCAAAATTTTAAGCTATCAATCATAAAACGCTGTTGGGAAGATCAACTTCAATTGAAACGTGAGCGAATAAACATAGATACAAAATACACTCATTACCACATTGATTTATGCGTATTTTTATACTTATTCAGATGATGATTTTGTCAGCGATTGTGATCTATTCATCGCTTGCGTCATTCTTCAAAAACAAATCGAACATATCAATGGAAATAAAGATAAGATCATCGTACCAAGTATTAAAATGAGATTAATTCGTGACCGAGAACAATCTGGTTTGTATAATATAATTTTAAAAAACGATCTATTCAGATATAATCATTCATTTATAGATAATTTAGTCGAAAAACAGCTTGTCTCACCATCACTTTCAACGACGTTAACAAACGATTCAATAATTAAAGCAAATGATACATCAGTACGAGCATCATCTGTAGCGGAGCCAATGAATATTGACATCGTTCATGAACTTCCAAAAGCTGAAGAACCTATTTCAGAAATTAAACCATCAGTAAACAATCCTTGTGTTATGTGTTGGCAAGAAGAGAAGCGTTTGGCTTGTATACCATGTGGTCATTTAGCCGCTTGTGTTAACTGTAGCCAAACACTTCGCATGTGCCCTATATGTCGTAGAGAAATTGAAGCATTTGTGCGTATTTATATTTGAAAGTACTAGGTTGGAAATTTTTTTCCCGATGAGTAACACTATACCAAGGGGGAATCGACGGATTCCGTATTTTCAAGATCCTTGTTAAGGAAATATTCTTCCTTCTGAACTATATAAGAGCATGTTCATTTTCTTTCTCTTTCTCTTATATGTATCTGTTCTTTAGTTCTTCTTGCTCAATTGAAATTGTTCGTTCGTTTCTATTTTCTCACAATCAATAAACATCGATATTGACCTTGCTCTTTTTATTCTTTTTTTTTGTATCGCATAGCTTATAATACGTGATACTGTTATCATTATCTATATATGTATGTACTTCTTCTATTCAGAGCAGAATGATTGCTGGCATTCTCTTCTTCTTAATTCTTTCATGATTTCATTCTCTTCTTCTTTCGTGCTTTCTTCTTCATTATTGAAATAAAATTGAACTCACGTTCAACAAAAATACAAAACCTACATTGGTGACGTGTGTTCCTCTCCCTTATTCATTCGTTAATCATCTTCAACAATAGATTTTTTTCTTCTCATTCATTCTTCAATTATCTTCGTGATTTTGGCAATCATTGTTCATGTCTAAATCACCGTCAATGTCAACAGTTTTTTCAATTCCTGTACTTCATGCTTTTGATTCTCCACAAGTACTTGGCAATCTTATCGTGATCGAATCAGTTTTTATTTTCAAGCAAATCGCATTTCCACTGATGAAGATAAAAAAGCACTTTTTCTTTGGTCTGTTGGTGATACAACATATAATTTACTAGAATCATTGATCTCATCTCGATCATTAACTGGTGAAGATACAAAGTTCATCGATTTAAACAAGTTGTTAGATGCTCATTATGATGCAACAAAAAATAGTATGACGTCCACATATGATTTCTACTCATGTTATCAAAAATCAGGACAAACATTCGCCCAATGGAAAGCTGAATTATGTGATAAACTACGCCATTGTGGATTTACTACATCTGCATTAAAAGTTAAACCACAAGACCATGCACTTCGAGATATGTATGTTATTGGAATTAAAAGTCAAAAAATTCGACAAGCATTACTCTAGGAACAAGATCCTGACTTAGAAACAACAGAAAAAATTACTCAATTAGCTGAGCGCTAAGAAGAAGATGTTCGCCATTTTGGTAATCCAATTAAAAATGATGATCATACAGTAGCAAAGCTTCACAATCCTCAACCAAAACAACAAAAACAACCACAAAATAAATCATTCGTAAAAAATGAATATAAACCATGTCAAACATGTGGTTCAACTAAACATCTTCGATCAAAATGCAAATATCGTGAGTTTACTTGTAACTTTTGCAAGAAAACCGGTCATTTAGAAAAAGTATATCGACAAAAGAAAAACGAAAAACCTTCTGCAAAACATATTGCAACGATTTATAAATTGATCTGTTTCAATCAAGCATAACAATCCATTAAACATCCATCAACAATTGCATTAAGGGTCAACAGTTATGATTTTACCTTTGAACTTGATACCGAAACATTTAATGCAATTATTAGTGTGGAGAATAGGTACGAACTAAAATCACCGACCATTCATCCATCTAATTTGAAATTAAAATGTTACAGTGGTAATACTCTTAAAATTAAAAGTGAATGCAATGTTAAAGTACAATACGAAAACCAAAATTATAATTTATCTATGATTATTATTTATGGTGCAAGTCTACCTCTTCTTGGTCTTCAATGGTTTAACATAATGCAACTCGACTTAAATCAACTCATTCATGCACAAAATTTTGTTAAATATTCAATTCACAAGATTTATACCTTCTCAAAACTTCAAGCAACATTACAAAAATACAAAGATGTATTACACAAAGAACTTGGACATTGTACTAAAGTTCAAGCTCATATTCAACTTAAACCTGATGCAATACCGAAGTTTTTCAAACCACGACCAATACCATTTGCATATCTTCAAGGAATAAAAGAAGAAATTCAACGGAACGTTGAAGCTGGTATTATTCAACGTATTGATACTTCTCCTTGGGCAGTACCAATAGTTTCTGTGAAAAAACCAAATGGTGAAATTCGAACATGTGCTGATTTCAAGTTGACAATTAATCCTCAAATATTAATTGATTAACATCCAATTCCATCGATTGAAGAACTTCTTGCACGACTTAATAAGAGTAGTGTCACATATCCAAGATTTTGGAGATGCCACCACATCTCCCGTAGGAGATGCCGCGTCTCCAGCGGGAGACGCAACACCCACACTCGAGAGATATGGTCATTCACCACTGGAGATGTAAGATCTCCTTTAGAGATGCGCATCCCCCACACCCACACCCGCATCTCTCGCGCGAGATGCGGCATCTCCCGCGGAAGACGTGGTGGCATCTCCAAAATCTTGGATATGTGACACTGCTGAATTTTTCTGACAAACGCAAGTTGTTAAACCATTTACGTAAGAAAAATACTCCGTGGAAATGAAGTCAAGAATGCCAAAAAGCATTCAACAATCTACTGCAAGAAGTTGTCAATACAACAACATTAGCACATTTTGATGCTCAATTACCAATTATCTTAGCAACTGATGCTTCACATTATGGCATTGGAGCTGTAATTATGCATCGATATCCTGATGGTTCCGAACGACCAATTGTACATGCTTCTAAAACTTTAACTGCTGCTGAACGTAATTATAGTCAAATTGAAAAAGAAGCACTTTCAATTATTTATGGTGTTAAAAAGTTTCATCAATATCTAGCTGATAGATCATTTGAACTCAATACTGATCATCAACCTCTTTTGGCGATTTTCAATCCAACTAAAGGTATTCCAGTTGCAACAGCAAATCGACTTCAAAAGTGGGCAATTTATCTTATGGGATATAATTATAATATTCGTTATAAACCCACTCGATCGCATGCTAATGCCGATGCATTATCACGATTACCAGTCGGATACGAAAATTCTTTTACTGATAATGATGCTGAACCAATTAATTATATTCAAACACAACTTATTGAACAATGGCCACTAAAGCCAACTGAAATTGCACTAGCGACTACACACGATAATATACTTAAATTGGTAAGAGATTTTACTCTCACCAAATGACCTTCTTCATTTTCTAGGTCGAAGAATCCTGAATTAGTCTTGTACTTTAACAATCGTCATTCATTGTCGGTTATAAATGGTTATATTTTAAAAGATACTCAAGTGATTATTCCGAAACAATTGCATAATCGAGCACTTCATATGTTACATCGTGCTCATCTTGGTACAATTAAAATGAAACAATTAGCCAAAGCTCATTGCTGGTGGCCAAAAATGGATAAAGATATTCTAGATGTTACAATAGTCCTGTACAATATGTGCACAATTACAACCATTACCTAAACCACAATTCAAATCATGGGAAGAACCAAAACAAGTATGGTCTCGTTTACATATGGATTTTGCTGGGCCAATTTGCAATTCAAAATGGCTGATACTAATTGATGCAAAATCAAAATTTCCAATTGTAGCTGATACGAAAAACGATACAACAGCAAAAAGCCTTTGTGATGCTTTAGAACAAGTTATCGATTGGTTCGGTCCTTCAGAAACATTAGTTTCCGATAATGGTCCACCATTTAATAGTTATGAAATGAACCAATTCTATGAGAAATATGATATTAATCATATCACAACAACTCCGTATCATCCAGCAAGTAATGGCTTAACAGAACGATTCTTTCGTTCATTCAAAGAAGGAATGTTAAAAGAACAACAAATGGGACAAACAAATAAACTTATTGCATTAAGAAATGTATTAAGAAGTTATCGCTGGACTCCACACACTGCAACTGGTTCTTCTCTGGCAAACATGTTGTTACAACATCAAATCAGAACTGAATTAGACATAATGAAACCTAATGAATCAATTACACCACGACAACAAACAAGATATGCTGTTGGACAGTTAGTTTGGACATTGAAGCATCAACTTAACAAACGACCTCAATGGCAACAGGCAATCATTACAAAAAATATCAGTTCAATGATTTACAAGATTCAATTACGTGATGGACAACGTTACAAACATCATCAAAATCAACTTCGTCCTTGTTATTCTTCAAATACTCAATCGTCTGAAATAGGCAGTCTACCTGATATTTTATTAAATACTAAATCGCAATCAAAGATTAGTGAGTTTTCACATCCATCGTCACCGAGGTTATCGTCCTCGTCGAAATCGGAAACCACCTGATCGTTATTCTCCTTAGTAACTATTTTAAGGGGGAAGATGTTAAGGAAATATTCTTCCTTATGAAATATATAAGTGCATGTTCATTTTCTTTCTCTTTCTCTTATATGTATCTATTCTTTAGTTCTTCTTGCTCAATTGAAATTGTTCGTTTGTTTCTATTCTCTCACGATCAATAAACATCGATATTGACCTTGCTCTTTTTATTCTTTTTTTTTTGTATCGCATAGCTTATAATACGTGATACTGTTATCATTATCTATATATGTATGTACTTCTTCTATTCATAGCAGAATGGTTATTGCTGGCATTCTCTTCTTCTTTCGTGCTTTCTTCTTCATTATTGAAATAAAATTGAACTCACGTTCAACAAAAATACAAAACTTACAAGCACAAAGAGAAAATTGAAAAACCGAGTCGTGTTAGGTTATAGTGCTACATATTGGATACATTTTAAAACTAGCTGAAACTTTCTAGCATTTGAAATGGCGGAGAAATTTGGAACGCACGGAAACCTAAATTTTGACCTATGATCTTGAGCTAACTCTTCGTAGATTCGATGTATCGAGCTAATATTTTTTTTTGTGATATGTGTCTAGTTCGAGATATACTTTCGCTGAAAATTTCATCAAGATTAGATGCTCGAAAACAACTTTCATTTTAGAAGGGATCTTAAAATCTTCAGGCGACATCATTGTACCATTTGTTAATGATGCCCATGTGTTTCACGAATTTTTGTTGGTGACAAAAATGAAAAAGATTTGAAATTGCATAAAGAATAAACGATATCAAAATGCAAACAATTTAAAGTGCTAGAAAATGATTTGAATTAAGATCTTTGAGAAAGCTTTAAAATATTCGAAAAGGGTTTAAATATAACATGCAATCTCGATCAAGGGTATCGATATGAATATTTTGTTCACTCACATTCTATTTTCGTATAAAAAATAAGTATATTCAAAACATCACAGATTAGTCAATCCAAACACAAAGTGAAGATGCATGAATGCCATAGGTACCATCAGTACATATATTATTCTCTTGCAAATATTTATCCATGATCGACAGATGTGTTTTAAAAGGTTGAGTCCAACGAATAGTTGCACTAGTCAATTCATAAAGTCCATTAAAAACTCGAAAAATATCATTCCGCTCTCTAACATGTAAAGAAATATATTCTAATTGTGGAAATGTTTGACAGATTTGATCAATATCATTACTAAGTACGATATCTTGCACATATAATCGTTTTATTTGTTCGTATTTATTTTGAGCATCTGAAAACGAATCGATAATTTGCATCAATGTTTTACAATAAATAGTTAATTGATCAATATTTGATGCTGCTTGTAAAATACCATTAAGTGAAGTAGATTGTATTGAAGATCTCAATATTAGATGATGAACAGATAATAAATTCATAAATTTTGTTAATTGATCAATGTTATCGATGTTACATTCGAGCGATAAAGTTTGGACGTGTTTGAAGGGTGATGAAACAAGAACTGGTGAAGGACAATCCCATACTCGTAATTGTGTACACTTATCATCAAATGAATAAGGAGTTATTGAATAATTAATAAAACCTTCACCTGATGGATACCATGCATCAGTTGGAGAAAAATGAGGTACAGAAAATAGTCTTGCACATGATTGAGTTGAAGTTGAGATTAAGCAAGCCATGTGCCAATGTTTTTCATTTGTCCAAAATGAATTTTGAAATGGTATAAGTACATCATCACCAGTCATATTATTTTCTTCGGGTGTGATATTCAATGCAAATTCAGTCAGATGTGGTAATTTTGTTTTAATCAATGTCTCCCATCGTCTACCATCAAGCAAAGCTAATTCACCTGATGTTTCAAATATAAAGCGTTTCAATGATTTTGTAAATGACAAGAAATTTTCAATTGCATCAAACAGTATCCAATCTTGTGACTCGATCATCAGAGAACTTAAATTTGATGGAATATAATCAAATGTGAATGTACCTGCATTGTATGGCACTAATATCTTAAGATACAATAGATTTGGAACCCAATGAAAAATAATCTTTAGATCGATGAATCTACAAGAACGAATAGTCAAATGAGTGAGTTTTAATAATGGTTGTTTAAGAGTTGTTAATGTTGAACTTTTCATAAATGTCAAATATTTTAAAGATGGTAGACTCGATAATGTTTCAGTAATACAACGAGAATATTTTTTACTTATTTCCATATGATAATTATATATAATTAATGATTGAATTTGAGGATGATTTTCAAGATGTGATAATATTAAACAAAGTAAATTAACATCATCAATTTGAATTATACTTATCGATTGAAGATTAATAAATTGAATAAGTGGTAAAAGAGACATGAACAATTTTATTTGACCTGGTGTATATTCATCATCGGCAAGAACAAGAGATTGTACTTGATTGGGATAGATATGTTCGCATATATAATAAAATGTTGATTTTTTCATTGATTTACAATTGAGTCGAATACGAGAATACGAATGAAGTATTGTATCAATATAAGAGTTTATTTCAACGAATCCATGTAGAAGATCATTTGGTTTTAAATAATCAAATATCATATGTAGAACTTCCATAGGAAAGTGATCAAGCATACAAGCCATAGTTTTAGAAGACAATTTATTCAATTAATAAATCTAAAATATGTAAAAGTATTCTTATTGTATTAATGAAACTATCATTGACTGTAATAAATAGATTTGAGTTAGAGAACAGGTAAAACACAGACGACTTAGGTAAAATTAAGCTTGTTGATTATGCAATGTCATCAGAACCACTAGAAATTTACATTTATTTCTTTCTTTGAAAAAAATCTGTATATATAAAAAACAAAACTAGGTGGCGTTACTGCATGGTCAAATTTCCCTTCTGTATAACAAGAAACATTTTCAGGCCGATTCAAATTCGTCTGGACATCAACATTGAATACATTTCATTCATTATTTTAGATATTATAAAACAATAAAATTGATTCGTTAGATATTCGATTTATTTTGAAACAAAATCAAAAGCTTTTTATTCGCTTACTTCCATATTTTTATTGTAAGAAAATACAATCTGAGATACTTGAGCATAGTAGATTTGTCTACTATGTCTTAGTTAATTTTCAAGAGCACGATAAATTCTAGCCTTTGCAAGGTTTTCTCAATCCTGCGAGGCAGCACTTGTTCAATTCGTTCATTTTTCTGCTCATTCTTGCATAACTATGCTAGATGAAAAGTCTATTGGAACAGCATTTGGACTATCATGTAGCCAGTCTTCAAGTGTTACAACTTGAATGTTATGTTCTATCAAAGAAGCATTCATGTCATTGGCACTTGTTTTTTATCAGTGAAAACCGCTACGTTTAAATGTATATACTAACCTCTTAGTTTTTTTGAGAAAAGCAATTTCTATTTTAGTTCGTTGCGGCTGTATACACTAGCACTAAGAACGAAGGAAGAACTCTTTCACAACTTCTCGTCTATTAATTCACAATAACTAATATTGAACAGTATCCATGCTTTTTCCGGTTAATTTTCTTGTTTGAAATTATTTTTTAACACAACTGCAGGTCTCTTCAATTCGTTTAAAAGTACTATTACCCATAGGAGAACAAAATGAGCTACAAAATTAAATTTTTTATACCGGGCTTCATATGTTTATAAACTTATCAATATCAGATATTGTCACAATCCCATGAGGTAACAATTGGTAAAATTTCAACAACAAAATGGAATCTTTTATTTTTGATATTTATGAAACGAAAAGATGAACTGAAATTTCTAGATATTGGGAGTTTTTGACAGTCAATTAAAAGTATTTTTGAAAATTGAGCTCAAGATTTTAATGCAAAATATCTATAATTTATACTAAATTTCACTTCGTATGGCTAGCTAACTTTTCATAATCATAATTAATACATTCAACATAATTTGAATCCTTTATTGCACTATGAGAAAAATATTGACACTGATATTAGAGTCGAAAGAAAGTACTTTTTGTATGATTGATATTAATATTAATATAAAATCACATTCGAATTAGTGATAAGGAAGAATATTATTATTATTGTCTGTCTTTGCGATAGATTTATGATATTGAATGCAATACATGTAGAAAATAGGAAAGTTCAGAATTCAGATGAGTATACTAGTAAACCCTTCGTAAATAAAACTTTTTTTGAATACTTTTGTAGCAAAAATTCTGCAAAAGCCTTAATAATCATTACAAATATATTTCATTAAGCTAAATAGAGTGAGCAATAATACTACAAACGAGAAAAAGTTTGCTGATATGTAGCTAGTTTTGTTGTTTTTTAATCATATAAATTTAGTATCGCTCTAGTTTACATACCACTTTATGTGATAAATAAAATAGAAGATATTGCTTAAAACCATGACGCCATAGTTAGTCAGCTTTACTCCTGTCTCGGTTCTTTTGGCCTTCTTCATCAGAACATATATATATACATATGTAAACATATGAAAATTTTCAATCTTTGCGTTTACAAAAACTTTTCCTTAGCAATAAAGCCTAATAGTACCAAATTCAGGTAAGACTCAAACTTTATCCAGCCTATACGTTTGACCACCTCTGACTAGATTGATCGACACAGTAGCGAAGATATTCTCACAACAACGAGAACAGTTATTACTAGTAATAAATCGTCTTTAAACAGTGAACTTACGCTTAACATTTCTTTTGTATTATTATTATGTTAATCATAACAATGCCTAGAGTGCGACTGATAATATTCCAGGAGATGTTTTAAAATAATTAATGATAACTCATTTATGTTTGTAAAAGATATTAGACAAATTTTATTCATTTTTCTTAGCACATATAATTTTCTTAAATTAGTAATGAAATTTATTTTCTTTCGGAAAGGCTTCCAACGAATACGAGCATGTATGAAACAAAAACTAAAATAAAATAAAAATAGTTTATGATTCAATTTGTCAAGAAAAGGAATTTTAATTTTTACCATCATTAGTAT